TGCTGCATCTAAGTGATATAATTTGCATGTTACCATAGGGGAATAAATAGGACCTTGACATGATTTGCATTCTATTATTTACCTTGTGAAATATTTCCAGGTTTGATTTATTTGTATTGATTTATTAATTTTACAGATAGTCCTCGCTTAATGACCACAATAGGGACCAGAAAATTGCTTGTTAAGTAGAGTGGTATTTAAGGGAATTGGACCCGACTTCACAAACTGTTTTGCAGCAGTCATTAAGCGAATCACCAGGGTCATTAAATAAATCACATGGGTGTTAAATGAATCATGCGGTTCCCTATTGATTTGGCTTGCTGGAAGCCATCAGGGAAATTCACAAATGACGCTTACATGACCCTGGGATGCTGCAACCATTGTAAGTGTGAGCTGGTTGCCAAGCACCTGGATCGCAATCACATGACAGCGGGGATGCTGGGACGGTCATAACTTTGGGCACTGGTTGTAAGTCACCTTTTAGCACCATTGTAATTTTGAACGGTCACTAAACAAATGGTTTTAAGCGAAGGCTACCTGTACACTGTAATTTGGCTACCCGCTAACGAAGATTTTTGGACCAACTAATTATATAAGAGAATAAATAAGTTGTTGAAACTTAAAGTAAAAGGACAAAGGAGAATAAGTTCTTCTTTAAATCTGCATTATTCTAAAGGCTTAAGAAGATCTGCAAATCTCTAGGAAAAAATGTTTGAATGCAAGGATAAAAGGCCTGGGGAAATAAAAAAAAATTCTTCCCTTTGCCCAGAAGATGAGAACAAATATCTTTCTCTACAGTTGGCACTCCACAACTGGAGATTCACTTTGAAAAATAAATCTGCTTTGTTGGTCTTCTCGTGGTGATATCACTTGCAAGAAGGCTTCTAAAAAGGTCATAATCATAATAGGGTTACAGACTGAGGCACTGAGAATGTAGAGTTTAATAAATATCTGGTGGATTTTTCAGTGCACGTTAATTCAACTTTATTCCAACCTGGTAATTGTTTTGTCTTTTAAGGTGAAAAGTTTGTAACAGTGTCTTTGAAGTTATAGAACTTTTATATGGATTTTCCCTAATACATGGATCTGTTAATCTAATTACTAAAGAGTCATTTGTCCAAACGTTTAATACAAATTATCCTGCTTTCTGTATTGCCAGCTTTTCAAACATAAATTGTACATAATTTAAACTAAAAATCTAATTTCTTCCATGTACAGCTTTCAGTAATACATTTTTAAGATAGGAAAAGAAAGTGCTTTGGATTTTGCTAAAGGGTTGATTAGAGAGAAGTGCATGATAGTAGACTTACTTTGATGCTAATATTTGTGCTGCTGTGAAGGCTGATTGGAAGTAGAATGTCTACATTTCACTCCTACACCATTTTTCCTCCTCACATTCCTACCGAGCACTGACTAACTTCTCCCAAGCCCTTAACTAGTTTCCGTGGAAAAGTGAGTAAAGAACCTGCACGTATTTATTCAACATTCATGCACCTATTAAAACCACGAAGAATAC